CAAGTCTCAATTACCTGTTTACCTTGAGTAAACCAAATTTACCGAACAAGCAGAACATGGTTGTTCCACAAAGTTGTTTTGGTAAACCAACAGGAAGTATAATCAATACTTCCAATTACCCAAGGAAACAATCCACTGGCGTGTATCGCGGAGCGCAAGGATCGCGTAAGGAGAGTATCTGGGAATCAAAACAGAGAACCGGAATACGCCACAGGGTCAAAACCGGACCATATCGCGTGTTACTTACTTCCAAACACACAGTCGCAACACGTCGCGAATGCGTGCTAGTTATGTAAGTAGATTCCCACCCTAAACCCTCCCAAGGAAAAACACGGAACTTACGCTCGCGAGAAAACCTCTACAAATTTAGTTTCGGAAAAAACACGCCAAAGATATCTATACTCCTAACGTGAGGCTATCGCCACGGTATACATATAAACATTATATGAAAACCACGCGGTATAATATAAACATCCAGTGCACATGCAGACAAGTGAACATCACAAATGGAAATCATTGCAACTGAAAGCAGGCGGTCATTTTTCCCTTCTCATTAAGTTGAACGGGTTGGATTCACACCAAGGTAAACGACAGCCATATATTTCCGATGGCAACCGAGTCGAATACCCCCTAATCCGAGGTGGACATCCGACCTACCAGGGACCAAGACCTCCTTTCCGTGCTTTCTTCTTCTTTGGCTCCATTGGTGTAGCTTCTGATTTCCTTTTCCGCATCTCTTCATGAGACTCATTTGCATGTACCAGAAAATCCGAGAGCACGTGCCAGCTCTGTTCAAAAGGTTTCCAAAGCACACGTTGGTTCAAGTCAAAACTGTCAAATTTCATGTTGGATAGGTCGTCTGCTAGTTGATTTTTGTCTCTCCTCAACCAATCAAGCGTCAGACAACAATTTCCCAATCTAAGCGATTCGGAAAGCTCCATCACCAGCACGGTGAGCGGAAATTTGGTGCTCATCCATTTCGCCACAGCGTATGAATTTCCCAAGTTGTCTGTCTTTCCCCTTATCCAACACTTAGCACTAGAGCCTTTTGGATTGTACGGCATCCAAAGTTTGACAGCGACAAGAGTTGCCAAGAGCTCCAATGAAGCGTTCAGCCTCTTTGGGTCCTTTCTCAGCTTCAACCAGCCGGCCCAATCAGCCGTTATCTCCTCTGAGAACCAAGCCAAAATTTTGCCTGACTGATCCTGCTTGTACCCACCAATCCATGCTCCATCCTCCGTGGCTCTAGCATCTGTGAAGAAGAGCATCTCCTCCTCCGACTCCTCATCAGCTTTCAAGGGTGGGGCCTCTTGCAACTGACCTTCTTCTTTGAACCGTCGGGCAAGAAAAAGTAAAATAGCTCTGAGCATCGCCGGCAATCTCAACTGGCCCCGCTTGTTACGCGTGGCTGCTGACCAGCTGTAAAGTGGTCCCAAGAAAGGTTTTTCCCAGTGTAGGGCTAGTGCAGCAAAACCCAGTCGCCCCAATCCCTGCTCGAAAAATTTTGATGTGGTGGTGCCTTCTTTTGCAAGCTTCAAGACCCAGTTGTACATCCATTCAGCTCTCCTTGGGGAGAGTCCAAGCTTGTATGTGGTATAGTCTGTAAACAATCCTATCCACTCAACAGGCAGCCCACCACGTTGCTTCGCCCATTTGAAAGGGAAACCCAAACAAGAAAGAAATAAAAAGGCCAGTGTGATGCCTCTTCGCCCACCCGGGCTTGCCGCTATGGCCTCAACATCATCTGCAAAAATCAAAAGCTCTATCGGCATCTGTGGCCCCAAAAGTTCATGCACCAACCTGACACCTGATCCAGCAATCCTTGACCACCAGTAAGACGCACATGCCAGACCAAAGGTTCCAACCTTATTAATATAAACGTAAGGATCATCATCGCTAACTCGACATGCCAAAAGTCCTCTCTCCTCCGGTGCATGAAGAAATCTTCTATGAGCCTTGGAGATGTCCCCCACCAAACTGAAAACCGAAGCCCTGAGCAGTTGGAAATAGGCCAATAAGTATTGCTTTTCTCTCTCGCACGGGCTTCGAACCTTATCTCGGCACTTGATGCGGTTGTTGATCTTTGTGCCGTGGGTCGCGTCGTGGATGACCCTGCGTTTCCCTTGGTGGTTTTCCTCCACTAAAACTGCAAGAGATGATATAGCTAATCGCCCCCCAAACTTTTGTTTTGCCTCATCCAGAGTGAGCCTTTCCATCAAGCCCTCGTTGCATTCCTCCTAAAACTGCTGCCTGACAAAATCCTGGTGGGCTTCCACTGATTGATAGTTGGATCTCCAAACCTCTTCCTGCATGTGTGGGTCATCCTCCAGTTTCCACGTGGTCTGTTCCTCAAAAACGTGAGGGGTTCTCGGGAGTGGGTTGTCCACTCCCACAGGGAAACCTCTCTCCCCCTGCATCAAGAACTCCCGGTCCATATCGCCCGAGAAAGCCAGTAACTCCTTGAGGAGCCTCAGATAAATGGGCTGGCCAGGAGCTCGAAATTCCAAATCCTCTTGAGTACTGCCATGTTGTTGAAGTTTCCTAACCCAGAGCTTTCGGATACTATCCTTGAGCCCTTCATCACAAACAATATCGCATCCCTGTTCGCCTTTTACCGCCATCTCAAAACATGCCCTGTCCAGCTTCCGCTCATCACCCAAGTGTTGTAAGACCATGTCCAATGTCTCTTTGCGCAACTCCAACCAGAAATCACTGTTGTTCCAAATTCTTTTGTCAATGTCCCATCTCCCCATTGATGGGAGTCCAGCTCCATCATGGAAAAATCTTTCTCTGCCGGGTTGTTGACATTTCCTAGGCGGTCCGTATCCACCCAAGAGTTTTTCCCCGTCCGGTTGTAAAATGGGAAAGTCTGTCCTGTCTGAGTGTACTTTTACCCCATCGTCAGCGATGACAGGACTCTGGTTGTAACGCAACATGAACTTGTCTAAAATTGTAGTTGCAACCCACTTGCAAAAAGAAGACGGCCACTGCTCGGAACCAGTAGTTGCAAAAGCTGCCCCTGATGTTCCCACCAATTGTTTTCCCGCTGTGCGCGTTTTCAGTGGTCCCTGATAAAAACCTTGGTCATCAAAAAGGGGTCTCCCTTCGCAAAAGCTTCATGCAACTTGTCAACATTTGCCAGTAGTAGCCTCGTGGGCTTCAGGTAGTCTGTACCAAAATCCAGTTGGTGGAATGCTACTGATGTCACTTGCTCCAGCTGTAACAAAGTTGAAAACTGTTCCCATTGCCACATGCTTGCCGGCCTAACTCCAAAGTTCTCGCCGCTTCTCATTGCCCCCAGATCCTCCGGATTTTCAAAAATTGCAATGCCGTCCTGTTGTTTTGCTTGCAACTCAAAACCCTTGAAAGTGAAGTCTGCCATGGTGTTTCCCCATGTTGCTCTTTTGCGTTCTGCCCATGTGAGCCTATTCAAGCCTCTAGGAAATCTGCAAGACCGCACTGGTCGAGGTCCATGTCTATTCGCCCAGACCACTCGTGAGAAGGTACTGCATGGTGGGCTAAACAAAACTGCATCGTAGCGTCCTGTAGCTATCTTGTTCAACAAGCGCTGTTGGACTTCTTTCTGGGTGAGGTCCAAGAACGGTCGCACTTGAATGTCAACCATTTCAACCTCGACTGTCACTCCCAATCTTTTTGACAGTTTGTGCAGCCATGATGAAACTGAATTCTTCCTGGGTTTTCCAGAAAATATATATAGAACTCTGCAAACTCGCTTCGTAGTTGGGTTCTGCTTGCATGCAGTCTGATCCCCCAATGGTCAGTGTGCCCCGGTAGTGTCCGGGGGGCTCTTCTCTTCCTTGCAATTCAACGCATTGTGCCCTTTCTTGTAACATCGACTGCAAACATGGGAGAATTTGCATTTCTGATAACTGCACTTGCCCTGGTTGAAGCGGAAGCAAATCTTCGTGCCATCAGGTGTGTGGTGCTTGATCCTTTGCCCTTTGACTTTCCCTTAGAGCTCGATGACTTTCCATTCTTTCCCTTTCCCTTTGGATTCCATTCACCCCAGTTCTGCTGTGGATAGGACCTCTTGCTGTAAAGTGCAAGTGGAGTGATGAAGTGACGCTCCTTGGTGGTAGGGCACTTCCATGCCTGTTCCAGTGCCGCGCCCAGTTGCAATTGATCTGTAATCATCAATGCATATGCCCTCTTACGTATGGCTTGTTCGTATGATAGTATCAACGTCCAAGGAGGTGTTTGAACTTGGTTACCTTGCAAATCTGTTGATGAAAGCCCCCACACATAGTCACCCAAAACGTAGTCCTTGTACCGCTCAAACAGATCACGCGTCACATCTTGGATTTCCTCTCTGTTGGGATGCTTAATGGCCAACATGAGGATTGCGTTGACCATCACCGATAACCTGCGTCTGAGCTGTTCTGGTCCCGTGGGCAAAGGGATTGTGGAAGCCCCTTTTCTAACTGAAAGGCTGCCCTTCGCGTCGAAAACTGGTATCATCACATCAGGGTCCACCTCATCTTTTGAGACAACTTCGGCCATTGTCTCGGCTCTGAACTCTCCATTCTCAAGCTCTTGCAACTTCTTCTCTAAATACTCCTTCGACGGAGTTACCTTGTCCTCCAGTCTTCCATGCACCTTCATGTATGCGTTGCGCATGCTAATGTAGTCTCCAGTCGGAATGGGTTTGGTCCATTCACGTGTTTCCATCTCTGCTTCAACTTCAGCCTGTCGCTTCTGACGCGTCTGTGTTTCGCGCCACGCACATATCACTGCAGCCACCTGTGCTCTCGCCTGCAAGCTTGTATCTGCATCTGTGTTGAACTCCTCTTTCAAGACCTTAACAAGGTCGTCCTCCGATCTGAAGAAGGAGGAGAACTTCTGTATCGAAGTCACATCATTTCTGTAAAAGGATGCTTGCAAGTCGTTTGAAACATCGTTCCTCGTGAGGATGAACTTCAAGTCTGAACTGCCTCTCTTCAACGCTTCCTGCAGGGCAATCTCCTCTGGAGAAGCCATGACACCGAGCGCTGGCGCTTGTTCAAACTCCTATTCAAAACGTGTTGTGAGTCCCCTTGCAAACCCAGTTCATCCTAATCGTATTGACAAAGCGACAAAATGCAAGCAAATTCCTACGTCACTTCGGAATGTGTGTTCTGGAGAGTGTACATCAACTGCATAAAGGAAAATCAAGCGGTGTTCACCTTTCTATGTACTAATGATCCTGCTATCAGTGCTCCTAAAAAACCTGTGGATAAACATCTCATCAGCTTGACCGAGCTGAGCCTAAACACCCGGAGAAATCTGCGGATCTCTCTGTCACCGTCACCGTGCCCATGCATGTCTTACCGGCATGGGATCCAACCAATTTCTTCCTTCCGAGATCAGTTGTTTCTTTCTTACTTTCTCCAAATCAAATGAAAGCACAAAGAAAGAAATCATCACCCCGACTGATCAATTCACTTGGCTCCAGCTATGACCTTTTCTTTCACGGGTGAGATGATACCTATCCACATGTCCCCTTTGGGATGTGCACTCAAGCAAGATCAAACTATTCGCTTGACTGTCCTGATGAGCTGCTGGCACTTCTTGAACTTGAGGTGGACGATGATGAGGAGTCCGACGTGGCTGAACTTGGTCCCGCCTTTGGCCAGCACACCTTGCAGTAATGCGTGTACTCACTTGCCTCAGGCATGGTGAGATATTCTGTTGCTGACTTGAAATTCATCTCTCTCCCCATCCAACATCCGCCATGACTCTTGTGAAGTCTCTTGCATTTCTTCCCATTGTTGACAACGACAAACAAGTGTGCACGTTTCTCCTTTGTGACATTGCCCGTATCTGTTATCTTGCGTTCTGTCTCCAATGAAGCGTCAATGTCGGCTTCCTGGAGTGTCTCATCATTTGCTGTGTTTCCTACTTCTGTCCAGTCTGCAAAAATTGGTGAGGCCAGTGATTCCTCAAAATGTTGAAGAATGCGATCAACGCCTTCCTCTGGAAGGTTTTCACACCTCTCTGACAACCATGACATGGCACTCTCAATTATGTCTCTCTCATCCAGCTCTTTGTGTCGCTCAGCTCCTCTTGCCGATTTTGCAAACTGTTGTTGTAACCTAGCAATGACACCGTTGTACATCCTGATGTAAGTGTCTGACCCATCTGGCTTCCATCGTCCCAGCATGTCACGCTCCTCCTTCTGAGCTCTCAGCAGAGCCAAGCCAGTAGGCACTGTTGCCCTCTCTGAATGCTCAGTCCAAAAGGCTGCCAAGACAGGATGTATGATACAGTCATCTTTGCCAGGCCAAAACATGACGCCATCACTTTACGAAAGGCTGACCATTCATCATTCAGCTTGGGAAGCAAATAGTCCCTCTCAAAAGGTGCATGCTTCTTGAACAAGTCAAAACCCGTCTTCAGCCAAAAGGGGTTCGAAACAAATGCATGCTCTGAGACGCAAACCGGAAGCTCTTGTACTCGTTTCGATGGCCCTGAGGTCTTCGTAGTTCTCAAAATGGTGGTCATGCGTCCTCCATAGAACTTGAGTTCCTTCGGGATGATCTTCTGGGCATCATCCCAACGAAGAGTTGCCCATAGTTTCACCAGTTTTACCCATGCAACTAAACGAAAGCCTATACGCTGACTTTCATCTTCAACAACATGTTCAAAAGCTTCCATCATCACAACTGGATAACGTGGTGCACGCTGAGTTGGTGGCTTTTCCTTGGAAAGCATCTCTACCAAATAGTCCCTGACTGAGCAAACCACCTGTGAGTCGCCTATTCTTTCACGTGGATCAATGTCTGCAACACGTTCCAGCCAAACAACAGCTTTCACAATAAGAGGTGGTACTGTTGCTCCGCACGGCTCTTCAAACCTTGTGAAAAGATACTCCACCAGATCACCTACTTCTGGACTGGCACTCATGCCACGCACTGCTGTAAGCCACTGCATGAAAGATCTCCATGTTTTGATGTATCGTTTCAGTGTGTTATGCCTGGTTCTACCTGCCAGTGCAAGATGTAGGTGTTTCTGATCCACACAGTGTTCCAAATGCAGTAAGGCCGGAGCGTCCAGACGCTTGAGTTCCTTGTACAACTCTCTGGACCAAGTCTCTTTCTGTCCTTGTTCTTTCTTCTGTGTCTCCTCTGCATCTTCTGTTGGAAAATTCCTCCTACGACTTGGCCTAGAACTGATGACATCGAAAGCAAACTCAGTGAAAGTTGGTGCAACAGGTTTTGGATACAAAGTTGAACAACGCTCATGAAGCAAGTTTCCATGCAATGGGTCCATGCTCTCGTCTCCTCCCAAACGTTTCTGTAAGGGCTCCGCATCACGAGCATCCCTGATGATCTCTGCTACCAGGTCAACATGTATCTGCTCACAAACCAGACCCAATTCCCTGCAAACCTGTGACGCAATGTCATCTGCATCATTTGGCAAGAAAACAGCAAGCTTCTTAGAAGACAAACCACATGACTGCAAATGACACGAAATCTGCTGTCTCAAAGTTCCCAGCTCCATGAGGCTTCGAGAAGGCTAGGCGCAGCCGTTCCCCCCATCTAAAAAAGTTGCACCAACCCTAACCGATTGATCCACTGGAAAATACACGGACATAAATAGATTTCATCAAATTGTTCTATACAACCTTTCAGGTGATTAAAGGAAGTTTGTACAGGACATATAAAAAACCAAGTTCAAGTGAACTAAAAAATCAAAACACGATCCGAGGAATTGAGATTTCTTCCGGATGGAAAAGGCCATCAAGTCTCAATTACCTGTTTACCTTGAGTAAACCAAATTTACCGAACAAGCAGAACATGGTTGTTCCACAAAGTTGTTTGGTAAACCAACAGGAAGTATAATCAATACTTCCAATTACCCAAGGAAACAATCCACTGGCGTGTATCGCGGAGCGCAAGGATCGCGTAAGGAGAGTATCTAGGAATCAGAACAGAGAACCGGAATACGCCACAGGGTCAAAACCGGACCATATCGCGTATTACTTACTTCCAAACACACAGTCGCAACACGTCGCGAATGCGAATTGAATTGAAATCATGAACATGGCATATTCAACTTCACAAAAGTCCAATTTCAATCCGCGCGCAACATTCACGGGACACATTTTCCAATACGTGGAAACACCACAGCTTAATTTGATATTTTTTCACAAAAATCAGAACTGCGGATTTTCCTTGAGTTGAAAGCGCCTCCAAAGTCTCACCATGTTACACTGCTCGATTTGTGCAGTGTCAAGTGACAAAACATGACTGCTATGGCATGTACATGTACTGATGCAAGGTGCGAAACATTTCTGCACCCCGCCTCAGACTGCATTTCCAATACTAGTCTGTACACCCCTTAGGACTGTGCTTAGTCCGTCAAATCTCTTCTGTTGGGGTTTTCTGCGCTAAACAAAAAACTGCGCACTGGATCCCACAAATGGTTTTTAGCCTAACCATTCATGGAACCACTTCTGTGGTGCTGTTCTACCCTCGCTCAGGATCTTCTCAGAATTCCATCAAACCGTCTTTGCTCACGTCCATGGCATCATCTTCATCGTCTTCTTCCTCTCCATCTTCTGCTGGTCCATATTGGACTGTGGCACAGAAGTCTCGGCCTGACATTTCACACTGTTCTGAATCTCGATACCTCTGCGCTCTTTCTTCATGGGTCTCCATCATGGCTTCGTCTGAGGAAGTCTCAGGACTAGGTGGCGTCCTCAGTGAATTTCAATCCCACTGACCAATTCCACCACGCTCTCGGATCTCTCGAGCTCAAGCAGCTTCACCACCAATTGGAAAATCTGTCCATGGGTTGCAGCTAACAATTCACGTTCCACCACCCCATAGCCATAGCTTGGAGAACCATCTTCCTCGTCCAACTCGTTGTCACCCGTGAGAGAAGCCTGCATGCGCTCACGGTCAGCTGGACTGGCATTTCGAAGCTCTGCAAAACATCTTTGAAGCCATTCCCGTGACTGGGTATACTTTCTGATCCTTCCAAAATTGTTGTCTCGAGTTGCCCTTGCAAGCCTGCCCAACACACGGGCATATGTCCACGTCAACAGCCCTTCCAACGTGTTGGTATCATGTGTGACCACCGGCCCAACTGCAAGTTCAGTTGGCATGGGAGGTGGCATTGGCACTGGGCGAAGAAATGGGCTGCGCAACATCCACCATGTATATGCTGCAAGCAACAACGTCCACAAGGTCAGGACCAGGAATGAGAACTGGCTGCTCCCACTGTTGTTCTGAGCAGTCTCATCCATGTCAGCTCCAAAACATCCTCCAAGGCCCATGGCCATGCTTCCCTGCAAAGAAATCATGGCAACATGTGCTGTGGTAAGTCTCTTCTCCTTTGACTCCCGAGGCTCATCTGTTGCACGTGTAGGGCTCGCCTCGTCTGATGAAAGATCCGACACCGTGTTCAACATGTCTGTTGCCTCCTGTCTTGCGGTGTCATCAGAACCCATAACATGATCCAACAGATCCACCAACAGCGTCATGCGCTGTGTATACGCAAGTGCTCTGGAACTGTTTCCATTGGAGATTGAATCTTCACGTCGACGGTAGCACCTCTCAAACAGCCATGAAATCAAAGCTTCAGGACTGAAAGCGGGAAAGTCTGGAAGACCTTCACAACTGAAATCTGTCTCAGTTTCGCTACGGGACATCTCCACAGAAGTCAAACCATCACCATCACTGCTGGCCAAAACTTCAATGTGAACCGGCTGATCATTGCGCATCCATAAGAACACCATCTACAAAGTCAGCAAGGTGATCCAGCTGGTGACGATGGTTGCCTGCATAGTCGATCCTAGAAAATTGCTGTCCATGGCTTCACTTGGCACGTCCGACCCGCAACCCTGAAGAAGCAAGCTCAAGGCGCCAATCAACATGTTGATCTGATATCTGGAAGCGCTGTTCTGCTGAGGTTGAGGAACATTTCTGAAAATTCGACCATTTCTGAAAATTTGACCTGGGTCATATTGTCCCACAAGGCTGTTGTTTGCACTGTCCCAGATACCAAACAAATACAACAGTGATTCCAACCTGCTGATGCTGAGTCTCTTGGTGGCTATGTCGGATGGATTGATTGCTCCTAAGACTGCTTTGACCATCAACAGTTTCTCACCAACCAAGTCTTGAAGCCAAAGGACTCGACAGCTGAGATGACGCAAACGACCAACTCCACGTCTTGATAAGATTCCACGTGCGGCTGATGAGTCAATGTACAAACACATGAGAATCGTTGACTGAAGCATCCATGAAATGATGGCTCTGATGAGGATTGCATCCATCACTGCGCTGGCGGCTGCATACGTTTCTGACTCTGCGCTGGAAAGTGACACAATCTTCTGTGTTCGACTGGAGGAGTAAACCAGGCAACCTCCAAAGAAAATGGCAGCTCCTGACACTGAACGTCGAGTGTCACGGTCTGATGCCCAATCTGCATCACTGAACACTTCCAGCACCGGTTCCTCACACTCATAGTCTTTGAGTAGTCCAGAGTGAATTCCTTTCCATCTGAGAGAAACATGTTGGTCTGCGTGACCAGCCAGATATCCTACCAAGTGCTTCAGCACAATCATCGTTTTCTGTGTTGGCTTTGAAGAGAACGTCGAAAGGTATCTAATCACATATTGACATTGTGGAAAGTCAGGTGAAAGATAAAGCAAAATCCCCACGCATGAACGGTAAACTGATCCATCATGAGCACTCAACTCCTCTGACTTGTCAGGAAATTCAATCTCAGAATGTCCAGGTGACTTCTTGTTCTGCAAGCGCTTTGAGAGTTGCAACAACTTGCAAAGTTGATCTAAATGTTTCCCATGGATCTTCACCACCATGCGCCCAGATTCCAAAAGCTGGTGGGTGCGCTTGAGAAAGGTCAACTCGTCACAGGCATTTGACTGCATATGTGGGATCAGCTCTTCTGTGACTGCTTTGCGTGACCCAACCAGAAGGTCATCCACGAACGTAGGATGGATGGATAGGCCTCAAACTCTTCCATCCCAAGGCTGCTTTCACGAACAAACTTGACCAAGTCTCGATGCCACAAAAGACTGCCATCACGCTGACCTGGAAGGACACGGCCCAAACTGTATGAGACACTTCTCCCAGAGGCATCTGTGCAGCGTACACGGGTTGGCTGTTCTTGCTTCACTGTCAAGAAAGCGTCTTTGACATCAATAGCCACCATCATCGTGTCCTGGTGCTCTCGCAGGGCCAAAAAAGCAAACAGGCAAAATGCGGCTGGCAATGTTCGAAGTAGCCGGTGAGAAGAGAGCTTCTCTGTCAGGCTGCAACCATGTGTACTCCCTCGCAACCAAACGACTGCGACGCAACCAGATAGCGTTGCCTTGCTTGTCTTTCTTCTCTCTCTGCGCACAAAGCGTGTGCTCAAGCTTTTGGCATCGTGAGGCAAGTTGTCCTCTTGCAAAACTTGGAGACCAGATAGCCTTTCAACCTCCACTTGATCTGCAATGCTATCCAAGCGCTGAAGTTCATCTGCACTGAGCTCTGGCTCTTGAGGGCTATACAGAAAACTGAGCTCATCCACGTTGGGTCCTACATCATCCATAATCTCATAGGGATCCTCGTTGAGATTCAATTCATGTTGGATCATCGTGTCAACTTCATCCATTTCAAAGTTGACGTCAGGTTCAATGTCCAAGTGCTCAATCTTCAAAATCTGCCCCCAGAGTCCAAGATGTCCAGTGTCATCAAGCTTGGCAGCTTTGCTGACAGGCTGCATACTTTCAAAAGAAGCATCATCCAAAACTTCGGCTGGTGCATCTGACTGTGGCGTTTGTGGAACAACGTCTCCATGCCCTGAAGAAGCTTCAACTGCTGTTGCATGAAAACGCTTTGAATCACCAGTCACATCATGTTGTGTGCTGTGCTTGCCAGAAGATTGAGAAGAAGTTTCAGCATAGACGGGGTCTGAGGCACGTCCACATTCATAGACTGGGCCCTTGAAGCACGCTTTGCTGCTGCTACAGTAGCAACCGGACTTGGGACGCGCAAAGAGAAAAAGGTATGAGTTGACATTCATGTTCCAGCTGCAGGGTCGCAAATCTGCTTGCACAACATGTGCGGGCAGCAGCGAAATTCTCCGATGGCTGACCCCATTTTTGGGTCCAAATATGGACCCCAAATGGGGTCCAGAATTGGATCACATTTTCATTCCTTCTTTTAGGTCTTTGCTTGGGCCCCGTTTTGGGATCCAGATTTGGACCCAAAAGTGGGGTCATCCATCGGAGAATTTTGCTGCTGCCCGCAAGGGTTTTGCAAGCAGATTTGCGACGCACTAGCATGAGCGTAAGTGTTAATACATGCTTTTTCTCTCTCTGCGTCCCACTTTGTTTCTTGTACAGTCGAGGTCCCTTTCTGGCCGCCATGTTTCTACTGGTTTTTTGGATCCTGTTTTGGGGCCATGATGAAGCAGGTTTGTTGGCATTCGAGGCGCTCCAAGGCTTACCGAGGCCTGCCCGAGGCACGCATGGCAGGAGCTAC